GATCTTCCCTGTCGGCCTCATCCAATGGCCATCGCGGCCCACTGGGCATTTTCCCATTATGCCTGATGGCCAGTCCGAGCCTGTTTTTTTCTATGAAGGGTCTGGTAGGATCCTCCATAGATCAGTGTTGTACCCTTGCGCATGCTCTTGGCTCTTGACAGCTAAAGCGCCAGTAGCTGAACTGTAACAGTAGGGAGAGCATGGCGGCAGTATAACTCAGCTCTCAGATGTTTGTGGGTGATAGGCGGACGAAAAAGGCATTGCACTGCCTGTGGAGCAGTCACTGTCAGGGATCTTGGCAAATTAGGCAGACAAGACCCTAGACAGTGACAGAGCAACTTTAATTCCTTTTCTTATTAACCCTCCCAATACCAATGTTAGTCTCCCTACAGTGACCACATTAGCCCTTCTTTCTTCACTTATCATTGGTACCACATTCCTGACTGATATATATTGCCAGGTCTGCACTGGACAAAATGGGTACCTGCCTAGTGGGCCACAGTAACCATGGGCTGAGGCCAACAGGGGAGATCAATGGGTCATCCCACCTGCCCCCTGCAGGGTCTGCGCTAAAGAAGAGGATAGAAGGCTCCTTCAAAGACCTACCTCACAGCCAGGCCACCCTAATGCCGAGTGAGAGGAGGGAGAACTTGGTCTATACTTCCTCTATCCTCAGCTCCTTCTACTGTATCAAAGCATTACCATGGAATGCTATATTCTTTCCCCAGCCTTGGCTGGGAGGTTCTGTCTGCACATCCAGAGAATGTAGACTAGCAGTATCTCCCATCGGATCACCAGGTATCAGGATTCCTCTCTCTTTGGCCCAAGTCTCCAGGAAGGAGGAGCTGTTTTTTTAATAAAAAATGTGTTGGTGTCTTTTTTATATATATAGCCCTTATCCCGACATTTACAACAGTCCATACATTATAGCTCATATCCCCCAATAACTACAGCTCTTATCTCCCCATAGACTACAGCCTCTACCTGCCCACACACAATGCAACCCCTATACCCACATACACTACAGCCCCTATCACCCTCACATTCTACAACCTCCATCCCCCACACACTGCAGCCATAATTGCTCCTATCGTCCGGACATACTACAGCCCCTATCCCCCGCCGCAAAAACACACTACACCACTAAGAGATCTCTTCATACACACTACACTGCAAACAACATCAATAACAGAAACACAACCCAACAAGCAGTCTCCCCCTTATAAAAACCCACACAAGCAATACCACAAGCAGAATCCCTACATGCACCTGTCAGGATTGGCCTGACCCTAACACACAAACCTAGGTATATGCAAGGTAGGTATGTATAACTGTCCTTAGAGTGGCTGAGCAAAGACTGACATTATAACAGGAGACCTATGGGAGGGTTCCATGTAATATATAGTGTCATAATGAGGCACCAGGAAGCTAGGGATGAGTGGGTGTGCACCAGAACACAGCAGAGACATCACTTCCATGATCGCACAGTGACACGAGGACAGGTATTGTGACATTACCCTCCTCCAGCACCACCTCCTGGGTGGACAGGACATGAACGTGAAGGAAACCTGGCATGGAACTTTTGAAGCAGGACCAGGATCTTGGGTTCAGAAGCTGGAGCACAAGAATGTTACATAGGATGGCATGAACCTGTCCCCATATAATCTAGCAAAGTGGCTAAATGGGAGTCCAATCCTGGCATCCCTTTATCAACAAAGGATGCTGGGAGAACAGCAGGATGAGAGTCGTAATTAACAAAGAAGGGACTGTGGCCTGACACATCATGATCAGAAGTGTTGCATGAAAATGTGGCCTAGGAAAGCAGATCTGCCCAGGTGTCCTGCAGATCAGATGCAAAGCACAGTAGATATTGTTCTAAAGACTGATTGGCACAGTTAGCAGAACTATTGGTTTGTTGGTGATAGGTGGTCGAAAAAGACAAAATGATCCCCATCTCAGCATTAAACCGCTTTACAAACAAATTGCAGTCCTCTAGCAGAGAATATAACTTGGGGAATACCATGTAACCGGGTTATCTCTTGTGCAATAATCTTAACCAGGTCAGCAGAAGACAGTAACTTGGATAAAGGTACGAAATGTGCCATTTCACTGAATTTATCGATCATAAATGACCCTGAGAGGGAGGAAAGTCAACCATAAAATTTGTAGAAAGATAAGTCCATGGTTTAGAGGGTATCGGTAATGGCTGTAATAATCCACTAAAAACTTGGTACAGGCTTGGTACAGGCTAATACATATTCTTTGATCTCTGTACATAAAGAGGGCCACCAAAAGTAATGGGACACCAGATGAACTGTTTTGTTAATACCTACATGACCTGCCATTTTAGTACTATGCAGATAATCAAGGATATTGATATGGATAGGAACAAACAGATTCCCAAAGGGTCCTCAGAATACTCTCCATGAGTTTGCTAGATACAATGGTTCTAAACAAAGCTACTATTTTGTCTGGTAGTACAACTGATGAATTATTTGAGTTATCAGAATCAGTAGCTTCAAACTGTTGGGAGAGAGTTTCAAATTGTAAAAAGTCTTTAGTTCTGACGTGGTTTCTTTTTACCAGAGAGTGCATTATATTTTACCTATTATTCAGTTTTTCATATGAAGGATGTGTTTTCAGTTTAAGTTTTCTATAGGAGACCCAGAAAACAGCCCATTGGAGTGTGAATTAAGTACAGTGTTCGACAATAGCTCTTCAGACCTTCTTAACAAAGAAGTCAAATGACAATAAATTGCTATTAGGAGACTGTAAAATACAGTCAGAGCCAACAAATAAAGTGAAGGAAACCAGACCAATGACCTCAGGTGGTAAAAACAACCTATTAGCAGTGGCATAATAAGTTTTTATTGTCAATCTGAAGAAAAAAGATCAAGCAGCAGTTCCTTTCCCACAGAGCACAAACTTCCAGAAGATGTCAGCAGAGTTCTTGAAAATAAAAAAGTCAAAAGAATTTCGGGGCTGAATTTTGTAAATGTGTCAGTCGTTGAAATGACTTTATCAGATAGAGATTCTGATTGTGAAAGCATAGTAAGCAAAACTTATACATCTAACACGGATCTGATTTCTGGCGTTTATGAAGGTGGGATGAAAATATGGGAATGCACGTTTGATTTTATAAGATACTTAGAAGACAATAGCGTAAAATTCGAAGGAAGGCAGACTAGACTACAACTGTACTCTAATAGGGGAAATAACCATTTACAATGTACTGGTGAATTGTGATAATGATAAAATAAATCCTTGAAAGAAACCAGTCATTTAATTTGTTCAAATTGTTTAGTGAAATCCTCACCTCTCTGGTTCTTAGTCATCTTTTGAATTCCTTGTAACCTGAGAAGGGAGGTATATGACTAATGCTTATCTAAAAATAACATAGAAACATAAATTGTGATGCCAGATAATAACCGTTTTGCCTATCTAGTCAGTCCAATTTTCTAAATACTTTCATTAGTCCCTGGCCTTATCCTAAGTCTAGCCTTATTCCTATGCCACGCATGCTTAAACTCCCTCACTGTGTTAACCTCTACCATTTCAGCTGGAAGGCTATTCAATGCGTCCACTACCCTCTCTGTAAAGTAATACTTCCTGAAGTTATTTTTTAAGCAGACACTGAGTGTTTTGTGAAATGGTGTCTAATATTATTTAGATGTTGCTCTATTTAGACAAGTAGAGGGTGTGCACTGCATCCCATCTAATTAAATCCACTAGGGCACATTAAAAAATAATAATATTTTTTGGAATTGCAAGTTTATGACAAGTTTATACAATATTTCCTATCTTTTACACAAACTACTTTTTATAACTTCTATGTGTGATGTTATGATTTGTGTGCATGTTTATAATTCAGTTTGAAGAAGCAGTTACATAGTTACATAGCTGAAAAGAGACTTGCGTCCATCAAGATCATCCTACCTCACATTTGTTTTTTCCTGTTGATCCAAAAGAAGGCAAAAAAACCCAGTTTGAAGCACAATTTTGCAACAAGCTAGGAAAAAAATTCCTTCTTGACCCCAGAATGGCAGTCAGATTTATCCTTGGATCAAGCAGTTATTACCCTACATTGAAAGATTATATCCTTGAATATTCTGTTCTTGCAAGTATGCATCTAGTAGCCGTTTGAACATCTGTATGGACTCTGATAAAACCACTTCTTCAGGCAGAGAATTCCACATCCTGATTGTTCTTACAGTAAAAAAACCTTTCCTTTGCCTTAGACGAAAGGAAAGTGCTCTGGAGCAGCAACATGAGAGCCCAGCAGGTACTACTAAACAGCGATTTGCTGGTTTGAATGAGGCAGATGTAAGTGCAATATTTATATATTTCCTGGTTGATCTACCTCCCTCTAAAGAAAAAATCTATTAATCTAGTGGTGGTAGATAATTTCTCAAAGTTGGCACAATTTATTCTGATTTCTAAATTACATACATCTAAAGAATAGTGATGTCCCGAACGGTTCGCCACGGACGGCGAACATATGACCCTGTACCTCACAGTCAGCAGACACATTCCAGCCAATCAGCAGCAGACCCTCCCTCCCAGACCCTCCCACCTCCTGGACAGCTCACTAAGAATGCAGCTTCAAAATGGATGCTGTCCAGGAGGTGGGAGGGTCTGGGAGGGAGGGTCTGCTGCTGATTGCCTGGAATGTGTCTGCTGACTGTGAGGTACAGGGCCATATGTTCATCGTCCGCAGCGAACCGTTCGGCGAACCGTTCGGGACATCACTACTAAAGAATTTTCTGGAATTTTTGCTAAGTAGGTATTCTGATTACATGGTGTTCCAAGAGAAATAGTGTATTTTCAGCGTATTCTAGAGGGGGTTTGGCACAGAAATGCCTATCCAAGTATGTTTTTCTTTTGCCTACCACCGTCAAACCAATGGGGCTAAAAAGGCTAATCACTGAAACAGTAGATTAGATGCTTCAGCTTCCATAATCAGGGCAATTTGGTGGACCTGCTTCCCTGGGCTGAGTTTGCCTGTAACAACGCCACGTATGAGTAAACTGGGTGCAGTGCATTCTCTATCAGTCAAGGTGGTCATCTAAAATAACCCATCTCAGCAAACAAATATGGTGATTTAGTTCCACCATATTGCCATGTTGTTTTAAGCCCACCACTACTTCACAGTACCCCAATATCGGTGGTTTCTACACTAATTTCAACATGGGAGACACATTTAATAGCGCTACTGCTAAATAAACTTAAAGGACCACTGTAGGCACCCAGACCACTTCAGCTTAATGAAGTGGTCTGGGTGCCAGGTCCATCTAGGGTTAACCCTTTTTTTTTATAAACATAGCAGTTTCAGAGAAACTGCTATGTTTATAATAGGGTTAATCCAGCCTCTAGTGGCTGTCTCATTGACAGCCGCTAGAGGGCTTCCGCGCTTCTCACTGTGATTTTCACAGTGAGAAGACGCCAGTGTCCATAGGAAAGCATTGTGAATGCTTTCCTATGGACTGGCTGAATGCGCACGCGGCTCTTGCCGCGCATGCGCATTCAGCCAGTGACAGAAGAAGAGGGAGGAGAGGAGGAGGAGAGCTCCCCGCCCGGCGCTGGAGAAAGAGGTAAGTTTAACCCCTTCCTCCCCCCAGAGCCCGGTGGGAGGGGGTCCCTGAGGGTGGGGGCACCCTCAGGGCTCTATAGTGCCAGGAAAACGAGTATGTTTTCCTGGCACTATAGTGGTCCTTTAAAGTATATACTGACAATGGATGTCATATATCTGCTCAATAAAAATTAGAATTAAAGTGGCATTACTATCCAAAACTTCCTAAAATGTATACTTTCCTGTGCTCACCCAGAACATTCTTTTCTCAGGAATGGTGCGGTCTTAGAGACCAAAATGTGTGTGTGTGTGTGTGTGTGTGTGTGTATATATATATATATCAAAATCTGTAATGCTTGGCACTCCTCCCTCCAGTGGAAATGTCACTATTGGTGCCTAGGTGCAAATCCCACGTAAATATATAAAAAGAAAAATTTAGGAAGCACTCCAGGTCTCAAAATCGTGGAAAAACTTTGTTTATTGTATTTTAAAAAATACAGAAACTGTGCATGTTCAAATTGATGTTTCAAGCCACTAAGGGTCTTTATCAAGATCTTGATAAAGATCCATAGGGGGTCGAAACTTCAATTTGAACATGCACAATTTATGGATTTTTAAAAATACAATAAATAAAGTTTTTCCACCATTTTGAGACCTGGAGTGCCCCCTAAATGTTTCTATCTATCTATCTATATATATATATATAAACAGATTAAGGAACAGCACACACATACAGATAAAGATACATATTTTGCATTACATATATATATATTCACAAGGCTCTTATAACAGATTTTTAAAATACACTTTAGCTCATTTAGCACTAGCACTATTTAATTTGTCTCCCACGTTGGACTTATTGCAGGACCCACCGATATTGGGGTACTGTGAAGTAGTGGTGGGTTTAACACAATGTGGCCATATGGTGGAACTGAATCCCTCATATTTGTTTGCTGAGATACGTGATTCTAGGTAGCCTTATAAAATGTAAAACTGTATCTGTATATGTGCGCTGTTCCTTAACAGCTTCAACTGTTCAAAAATGGTTTGCTGATTGACACCGTAGGGCAGCTCCTGTATATCACGTTTGTGAAAGGATTTAATTGTCCACATGAAACATAAGTCTATAAGTACCTTACATAAAGCTTGCATCTAGATTTATTGGCCCCTTTTGACTAGTGTGCAAAAAAATCCAGTTTCTTATGCTCTAGTTGTGCCAAAGAATCTGTATATTTCTAATGTGTTTCATACTTCCTTGCTCCAACATTTGACATGTAACCATACACCAAAAATATTTCTGCTCCTCCTGCTCTTGTTGTCAATGGTCAAGAGGAATATGAAATACAATCCATCATTGATTGTATCCTGTCCAAGGCAAACAGACATGGTCAAAATTTCAGCCTTGTGTAGCTCCTGTGTCAAAACCTCTAAGTACCGGCAATATGTTCAATTCTCTCGTTTTCCTAAAATTAGCGTGTTGAGATTGCTACCCTTCCTGACAGTTGCTAGTTGATTTGTGCTTCTAGGTGTTCATGCAGCGTTGTTTTCGAGCAGCGTTTCTTTATCCAGTAGATGTGAATCATATCAGGTCCTGGTACTGACCAACTTTTCATGTGGACTATTCGTAGAATATCTCCTATTGTGATGAAGACTGGTTCCTATTCCGTGAACATGCAGATGTCTTCTTTCAGGTCAAGTAGCCATTGAGCCTTTGTGTGATGTGTGTGTAAAAGTATAATGCATTCTCGGGTAGAGGTCCTCTAACACTTACAAAACACTACAATTTTCTCACACAGACAATGGATAAAGTATGTACCACTGGGTGAAAAGAAATTAGGCTTGGCACTTTGAGTAGGTGCAAATCATATTTGATTTTTCTTCTCCACGTTCTTTACTACACTGTGGTCACCACTGTACAAACATTAATTTAATTTCAATAAGCTTTTAAGATTAGACCTTCCCATGTCAGAATCCCAGTTGCTGGCACTAACCTCGCATCTTCTGGAATCATAGTCAAGAATCATGCCTTATGCAGACTTTCACTGAATGACTTTATTGCAAAAATGTCCTTTCTTTGTGCACCCCTAAATATTGTGAGGCAGGCCGAATTACATTAGTTATTTCAACTATTTAAGCTAAATCCACTAGCTGATCTTGTACTTTCATGGTTACTGTAGCACACATGGTCATTGTTTTTGCTTTAATCTTCAATAGAAAAAAAAAAAATAGGATTATTAATCAAAATGCTATTATTAGGCAAAGTGCTAAATGCTCTTAGATATTATTTTGGCTTTCAGTGTTGATCCTTATTTAGGGATTTCCCCTACATGTAAGATAGATTCAGTGTGTGTATTATTCTGTAATGCATACATACAAGTAAATACCATTGCCCTGTTAGGGCAGCCACCTTTCATTTCTTTCTGGTCAGAAACGTTGCTTATCAAAAACATGCAGGTAATTAAGTGATAATTGACATTCAAGAATACATACATTTTCCTCACACCTTCAAATTACGCAACTGTTGCTTCTGACGAAAGAGGGCTGAATGTGACCACGTTCGTTGAACAAGGGTAACCAAGATATTCAGTATTGGCTATTTAGATATCTAGATTCCTGATCAGGTAGTTCATTGATTAGGAGTATATCCAATGTCCTGACCTTAGCCAATAAAGTTACCTTGTTTGTCTCTTCTGAGTCACTGTTTTCCCCCCTCTACAGAAGTATTACTGTTAAGTGTGGCCAGCTCTAAGGGCTCGTAATATATCGTCATGTCTCTATTATTTTTCCTTTCACTGAGTGCCTGGCTCATATTTGTAAGTTTATTTAAGGACTCCAAGTTTTCTGTTTGCACCTCAGATAAACCTCAGGCTGCATTTTACCTCTATTTAACATTAAAGTCCATATATTTGATGGAGAGCTTATTAATTCTTTGAGAAATGCTATAACACTTAAAGGGATACTATAGGAATCAAAGTAACTTTAGCCTAATGAACCTATTTCGGTATATAGATCATGCCCCTGCAGTCTCACTGCTCAATTATCTGCTATTTAGGAGTTAAATCGCTTTTGTCTCAGTATGAGCAGCCCTAGCCCCACCTCCCCTTTCTGTGACTCACACAGTGAGTGCTTTAGATGTTTTTAATCTCCTGTTCTGTAAATTGAATTTTAATCACACACAGAAGGCTCCTGCAGGCTCTGGCAAGATATTAACAGAGCATGAGATAAAACATTCTAGAATAAACAAAGTGATTTTACTCCTAAATGGCAGAAAATTGAGCAGTGAGACTGTAGGGGTATGATCTATGTACCCAAATAGCTTAATTAGGTAAAGTTATTTTGATGCCTTTAGTATTCCTTTAAAGTTATACTATAGTTCCAGGAATACAAAATTGTATTTCTGGAACTTTATTCCCTCTGCCTTCCCCCCTGGCCCGTGCCACTGAGGGAATAAAGGGTTAACACTTTATTTACTTACCTGATTCCAGCGCTGAGGGACAAAAGTGTCACTCTACGAAGGGGCGCTATTGTGCATGCGCAGTGAGTTTGGTACGTGTATTAGGACTCCCCATAGGAGAGTATTGAATCATTGCTTTCCTATGGGGAAAAAGCTGACACTGTATGTCCTCATGAGGATGTCCAACTACAGGTTTCGGAAAAAAAGTCTGGTAACATTTTTTTAATGTGATGCTCTGTTTTCTTTTAAACTTGTATCAAAGGTTTACCAAATGACATCTCAATCCTGTTAATTCAAGCAAGCAAAAGCAAACATTGCCAATGAGTAGGAGAAAGAGAAGCATTATTTCATATCATAAAGGACAGAGCTTATAGCAATGATTGACAAGAAGCCAAAATGGAGAAGCCTAGTTCCAGGATAGATGTAAATACACCTAATTTTGTCAGACCTCACAAATACTTATTTTTAAAAATAAATGAGATAAGTAGACATAATATTACAAATCCTGTGAAATAATGGTTCCCTTTAATCAGGCACTCATGCAGCATTTTCTAGAGACTTGGTAACTGGAGTCCCCACAGGTCAGACTCCTCAGAACAAATCTGGGGTGTTGGCCAATCTGAAGGGAGATATGCATAATGTTGAGAGGTATAAA